CAATTAGGGTTTGTTAGGTACAAAGCCCCTTGAGGCCCTAAGTTCTATCTCTATCATCACAAGAAAGAGAAAGCCCCAGGCTTCTCCACCCCTCAGTTTGTGGACTTGCATGTGTGCCATCTTGCACGAATAGACCTGGACCTATGCCAGGAAAGGAAGATTATCAAAAGGATGTGAATAAGGGTGGTCCCCAGATCATTAAGGGGACTGGAAGATGAAGCTGGACTGGCTTCTACTGTGTGCCAGGGCTGCAGCAGAGGCCTCAGGGACATGACTATATCAAGCTGTCACTGTAGTCTGATGGCGAAGGGAACAAAGGCCAGAAGGGTGGAGCTCTTCCTACTTGTCCATAGATAGGTGAGCTGGCCACAAGTCTGCCCTTATCGTGTGCCTGCTTCTGTTGGTGGCAGGCAGGGTGGAGCACAGACAGGCAGATGCTGAGTTAGGAAGCTGGGCGGGGGTGGGTACCCCTACGAAATGCCCTACCCTTCCTCATCCTGAGTGAATCAAGGGTCTGTGTGTTGTGGAGAGGGGAAAGGAGTGCGCCTCAGGGGAGGCGTTGGCTGGGTTGTGACTCACCGGGCTTGGTGACTCTTAAGAGCTCAGGAATGGCACTGCAGGGCACCTGTCCCTCTCTCAGGTTTCCCACTATGATCACAGCATCAAAGGTCCCTGCACGGGGAGTGGGGTGGAGATGTGACCATTATCATTGGTTGTCAAGTTGACAGCATCTGGAATACCAGTCTCTGACCTTGTCTGTGAGGGATTTTCTAGACTGAATTAATTGAGCAGGAAAGACATGCCCTAAAGGTGGATGGCACCATCTCATGTCGGGGTCCTGGACCAAAGAACAAGGAGAACTTGAGTTGAGCGCCAGCTTTCACCTCTCTGCTTCCTGGCTTCAGCTGCCTCATGTTCCTGATGCCATGGCTTCGCCACCAGGATGTGGGGACCAAAATAAAACCCTTCTTCCCTTAATTTGCTTTAAAATTATTTTATTTTCAATTAACTAATCAATTTAAATTTAATTTTACATGTATGGGTGTTTTGTCTGAGAGAATGTTTGTGTATTTCCTGACTGCATGTAGCACCCACAGAGGTCAGAAGAGGGTATCAGACATCACCCCTAGAAATGGAGTTACAGAAGGTTGTGAGCTGCTATGTTGGTGCTGGGAACTGAACCTGGGTCCTCTGCAAAATCATCAAGTATTCCTAACTGTTGCACTGTCTCCAGCTCACTTTGTTTTTATTTTTAATTATGCATATATGTATATGGGGATGTGCACATGCCCATAATGCCTTTCGAATCTAGAAGAGGGCAGCAGCTGCCTTGGGGTTGGAGTTATGGGGCCATTGTGAGTTTTCCTGATGTGGGTGCTGCGAACAGGACTTGAATTCTCTGCAAGAACAGGATGAGATTTTAGCTGCTGAGCCGTCTGCATGTGCACCTCTATGTGTTTGAGCACAGGCATGCAGGAGCTCGTGGAGGCCAGAAGCATATCTCCCTGGGATTGGAGTTACAGGGAGTTGTGAACCATCTGGTATGGGTGCCGGGACCCAAACTCAGGACCTCTGCAAGAGCAGAATGTACTTTTCACCTAGGAACCATCTCTCCAATTCCATCAAGTTACCCCAAGAATATAATGTAGTTTGGTCCTTTTCACCCCTACTTCTCTCATCCTCTAGCACCTGCTATTCCCCCCACCCCCCTTTTTTTTTTTGTCAAAACAGGGTTTCTCTGTGTGGCCCTGGCTATCCTGAAACTCACCATGTAGACCAGGCTGGCCCTGAACTCACAGAGATCTGCCTGCCTCTATATTGGAGAATATTATTTTAAGGTGTGTTACTTTTGTTTATATTGCATTTGTTTAACTCTGTGAAGCTGTGATTCTTTGCGTGTCTAAAACACTTGATGG